TTTGTTGTTATTGAAATTTTTGTAAATAAATTATGTAAATAGTTTGGCGTTAATTGGAAAAAAAATTGTTAAAATAGATAAAGAATTCAAAAATCAGAGAAAACAGGTAAATAATAAAAAACCTGTATGGGATGTGTTCCAAGTACCTTTGAGCCGGCGTGATCCCTGTGCTGTACCCGTTTTATTATGATGTTGGCCATGAATATGAGACGCACTGGACCTCATGAGGCAGTTTAGGAATCCATGTTTAAGTCCCCTCTCTGAGGGTCAAAAGGTTATCAACACTTACTCTTCGCACGTCAGTGGAAAGCACATTCATGGTCCTTTCAATAAAAGGGATAAAAATGGTGGGTCAAGTGCTGAAACAAAAAAGTTTTTCTCGTCTGTCCATTAGGCCAATGTCCTCAGAAAATGTCTGATACTTCTGACCTTCCCACTGCCATTTGACTGTGACCTCAATTTACGCACCTGATGATATGTTTCCTGCCCATCCACACTAATACACCGAATATTAAAGCATAGGCTCGAGCCGTTAAGATGTTGTGGGCACGCAATTCCGTATTTTGCCTCCTATACTTCAAAGTTAAGGGGGATAATATTACCCCTCCGTTGACGACATCTTGACCTTGACTCTGACGCCCAAATTTGTCAATTCCCAAGTCCATTTTCACGAACTTCCGACGTCCGCGGAATATCGTGACCGTAGTCGAGCGATTAAGAATTTGGTGCCCAACTGTGACGGGCACGGACGGACGTAGCGGACGAACGGACAATCATGGCGATTCTACAAGGTTGGCGTAGCCATTAACATCTACGTCAGATAAGTTAAAAAATAAAAAGTAAAAAAGTAAAAAAGTAAAAACAATACATACTAAAGAGGTAGGTAAAGGAAAAAAAAGGAAAAAAGGGGAAAAGCCGGCTGCTGCTGCCGCAGCCTGGGATCTTCGAACCCGGAACCCGGTATAGGAGACGGATGTTCTAGCAATTAGGATTACTGCCCGTTGAAGGGTATACCCCATGGATTCACAGCGTACGTGATGTTAATTGTTGTAGCACCGCCACTATTGATTGAATAGAATTTTTAGTGAATTTTTAACTTTTACTTTTTAAACTTTTTCAAATGTTTCAGCCAGAACCACCTCCCAGACGTGCTGATTCTGAAAAATATTTTAGTTTTCCTCAGTAGGCTGCGTGAGTTCTCTAGTTATATTATGCGAGTACGAACTAATTTCGGCTGAACAACTTTTTATATATAGATGCCGTAGTATTAGCACGTTTTATCTGTCTTATAGTAGCGGCCGCCCTGCATTTATATAGTTACGCATAGCACGGCAACACACAATATAACTATCAAGAGCAGATAAAGAAGAGAGATCGTCAAGGTAAAATGCTGAAACAGTGCTGGGCAGTATTAGTCGAATAATAAAACTTTTCCCCGTTAATTTTGAGCGATCCTTTGCA